TTTGCTAGTGGCTTGAGAATAGCAGTGGAAGACCCTGAAGAAGCTCCTGGATCCTCATCTCTGATCAGCTCAGCTCTGGGCGTTGCAGTCATTTGGGAAACGAACCAGCAGATGGAAGGTCTTTGTCTCTCCTCTCTCTTTTTGATCTTTGCCTTTCAAGTAAATAATTAAATCTTTGGGAAAAAACTCATTTTTCCTATTCTAAAGGACATAATAAAATAATAAAATAAAATAATAATATAGTAATAATAATAAAATAGTCTCCTGACAACAGTGGTTAAGGGAAATTATAAAATAACTCAATGTTACATAGGCTTTTTGAAAAAAAAAAGTTTCTCTGTGGGATTCTTCCTCTGTTAAGGGATTTTGGGAATCTCACAGCTTGCGATGCTGACAACATAGGATGGTAGGCTGGCACAGTGGAGAGCCTGGGGACAAAAACAATGCTCTTCCCATGCTCAGGGGTCTAAGGAGAAGTAGGCAAATGGGATAGCATGGCAGGAAGAAGTAAGAGAGAAAAAGTCAAAAGAAGTAAAGCAGAGAAAACAACAGTGTTCCCAGGAAATACCTGAGGGGAGATGTTCCCTGGTTCAGAGGCTCCTTGTTCTGGGCACTTGGCTGCCCCTGACAGTAACACCTGCAGCGTTACCAGTGCAGTTCCCTTGGGCCCTCACCAGACAACTCCCCTCCCCCGTCCCGTGATGAAATCTTGGATATAACATCCTTTTTAAATTTGTTTTGATTTCCCTGTGTCAGGATTTTCTTTTTTTCTTTTTCTTTTTTTTTTTTCTTTTTTTGTTTTTCCCATCACTGAAAGACCTAGGCTTCTTTCTATAGGAGTGAGGCAAGAAGGCACCATAGCAGCCGAGGGCCACATAGGCGCTCTGGGATACTCAGACTTATCCACATCGCTTCCCTGCAGCCGGATGGCACCGCGAACAACGAGAGAGGACAGAGTTGCCCCTCTCCTCTGTTCTCAGACTCAAAACAAAAGCTTTAGAAATTGCTTCTCCAGTCAGACACGTGCCTATAGGAGACACTGAGCAACCACTGATTCTCTTCAGAGCATGGTTTAAAAAAGAGACACAGAAGAGGCCAGCCATCTATTCTTTTCTGCACACACACAAGCCAACCGAAGAACACCATTTCCAGTTTTTTTTTTTTTCCTCACAAACAAGTGGTGATATCTTCAGAGAGATGCAGAATTTATATCCAGTGAGTTGAAATCTTAGTTTTGCTTCATTAAGAACTGTGTGCAAGAAACTGCAAAGACGTTTCTCTTACATTCCTTTTTTAGTTTTTATAACAACCCTGCCAAGTAGATAATATTATTCTCACCCTTGCTGATGAGGAGCCAGGCTGCAACAAGTAAGTCAAGTTGTACTGAAACCCAGGAGGGCCTCATTCTCCATTGTTCACCCAAGCTCCAGAGTATCTAAATTTTTCGAAATCCTTTCTGTAATAAAAACCATCTTCTTCTGCTGGCATGAAAATTTATAGATTGCCCAAAGTTGGACTGGCACTGTGGCACAACAGGTTAAGCTGATGTCCAAGATGCACACCAGTTTGAGTCCCAGATGCTCCAGTTCAAATCCTGATCCCTGTTAATACGCCTGGGAAAGCAGTAAAAGATGACTTAATTTGAAATTCCTGCCTCTCATGTAGGAGACCTGGCAGAAACTGCTGACTTTGGCCTGACAAATCCCAAGTTGTTGCTGTCACTCTCTCTCCTCTCTTTCTCTCTCTCTCTCACCTCCTCTCGCTCTCTCTTTCTATATGAAACTCTGCTTTACAAAAAAAAAAAAAGTAAATTCTTATAAAAAAGAATGTACAGATCAATGGGAGACAAACCCTTGGCTATTAAAAATTAAAAGCAAATATTTCACAGCAAGGCAAACATCTCATTTTTCTACTCGTTTATTTAAAGTTCATAGGAAAAGCAATATGAGTGTTAAGAAAAATTCAGAGCAGAGAATGCTCCACTGGATGTGGAGTCAGAAATACTGGTTGTGTTTCTCTCTTTCTTGTCAGCTTGGAAAAATAAACCCATAACATCCCATATGACTGGAAAACCAAGATAACATTTTTTTTTCCTAGTTTATTAGTTTGTGATGAAATTCAAATGAAACTCTTTATATGTGAATACATACACATATATGTATATGATTTTGAAAACAATATGCTATTTTCTAAATGTATTATATCATTTTTATTATAAGATCATTGGAAGCTGACTAAAGAAAATGAGGCAATTTAATGCATTGTTCTGTAGTCTTTCCAGATATGATGATATCTGAAATATGGTAGATAACAGGGATTGTCACAAAATAGGCATGGACTTTCAAAACAAATTCATCTTGCAATGAATAGGTGTGCTTATATTTAAAATATTGATGTTGAGAAATATGTGTATTCCCAGGCATCTGCTGGACTTCTGGAGGGTGGAACATGGCCCAAGTGATTTTGGAGAACATGAAGACTGAAGGTTTAGTACAATACAAAACAATTCCCAAGATGAGTTGGGTTAGAAGGATATTGCTCCAAGCTGAGTTTTGTTTAGCACAATTGCTCTGGTTTATGAGATGTTCCTTGCTACTTACGAGGACAAGGTTAGATTTTGCACCCTTCACAAGCTACAAGGCCTCGAACGGACAAACATCATGTGCTCATCCATGGTTGGTGTATTCCCTCATTTCAGAGAACCTGGGGGTCAGAAGGACAATCCTGCCACTGCCATTTCTGTTGCTTTCATCAAATTCTTTCTGTTGTTTTTCTGCTACAATACAAGTGCCAGGAACCCCTTGAAACTTCGTGTGAAAGCAATAATCCCTAGATAATCTCCAGGAAAGACCTCACAGGGCACGGGCAACAGCTTGTTTTGTTGCTTTGTCATAACTAGTGTGAACTATTAGATTAACACTTGGGTTCCTCTTGGCATAAAAAATACTGATTTGTGGGCTTGGAAACATATAATCATACGTTTAACTATGTTTTCAAGTTCTGAATTTCTGAGCTTATTTTTTTTTCCAGGAGCAAATTATTCTTCTATGTTTATTTTTATTGATGCATAATAACTGTATAATTTATGAATACAGTGTAAGGAAAGGATGAGACTCAATGTGCCCTATGTCACTGGAAGTTCTTGATTCAACTCTTTCACTTTGCTTTTACACAGAAATACAATTCACATGTCACACACTCCCCTAAACCATTCCAGCAGTGAACTGTGACTAGCTGCAGAGTTTAGTTGTACCCCCACAACCTCCCAAAAACTGATACAGAAGAGGGCTGTGTCATTACGGATGACAACAGGCAGGTATGATTGATGAGACTCAACCTGCATTGAATGAAAGTGGCAACAGAACAAGAGAGATTACCATGCACCGAGCAAGTCGCAATATATGCTGTTGTTTTGTGTCTGATCCTGATATAAGCATTATGAGGTAGGCATTACCTCCACCAACTGCTGCTTTGATACATGCTATGGCTATCAGGTTGGGAAATACATGCTATGGCTATCAGGTTGGGAAATAAGCACTGATCTTTTTTTATATTTTTCATTCCAAAGTCTACAATGTTTCTCTGATGTTACTGTCCTCAACTTTATCCTTGGACAATCCTTGTCTAAAGGAAATAATTTATTGAGCAGACAGAATAAATGCATTCAGGTAAAGAGAAGTGCTTATTCTGTATTCTCCTTCTGAGGTGGAAGAACTGCAATACATTAAGATATAGTCATTCGGAGGAGCAGAAAGCGGCTAACATGCCTCCAGTCTGAAGAGTTGCCACTATGACTGTATCTTTGCTCGTTCAATCGTGATTTATGAGACATTTAGGTCTTCCAGGCATTAAAAATATATTAGGAATATAACATGCTATGCAACAGAAACTTAAAAAAACAATTATTCCCCTAAGGGATATTTGAAAACAAACAAGCAAACAGAGGCTGTAATAAAATAAAGCAAGTGTTCCCAAGGACGGAAGTGAACAAGTCTCTTTCATTGGTGTTTATGCTGCCTTTGCGAGCACCAATGAACTGACCTTCTTGAATGCACCATTTGCAAAGCATAAGCAGCAGAATCCCCACATTGGCTGCTTATATATACAGAGAAATCTTTCGTCATTGGAGTTGACTTACCAGGACCCAACGCACGGGTCTAGATCACATGGCAAGCCACAAACCACGAGACATTTGACATGACTCTAATTCTAGCTACTGCCATCCAGCTAAAATTTTGCAATCAACTGTGAAGAGCGGCACTTGAAATTCTGGAAATTCTGAGAATGGGAAGATGGGCTAAGGCTTTTTTCTGGATCTCTCCTTCCTGCTCCAGATCTACCCTCATCCTGCCTTCATCCATAGCCTCTGTCTCATCCACTTTCCTCAGAGTGGGCATGCAGTGCCAGCAGGATCTCAGCAACCTACCTACACTCATGCTTTTATTACCAATTACCCTTCCACCCTCACTGCCACATAAACCTTGGTTTTAGTCATATAGAACTTCCCACCATTCCACATCCTCTAGAATATTCCTCTTGATTCTGGTCTAAGATCTAGAGGAAGGATGTTTTTGGTCTGCTGACCCTTCCCCCATGCCACCCTTCCTAAACAGAAGGACCAGTTGTGTCCTTGCAAGGGACCCCTCAGTATTTCTACCAGAATGAAATTGTTCCCCTTGAGTGTTATTATCAATGCCTCTTTTAAATACCCAGATGATGATTGCATTAAACAGAAAGGCAGCTGAGTCTACTTATCACCATTACAGGACTCATGAGCCTCAGAAACTGCTAAGTGAATGACTAGCTGGATTAGTAGGTTTGTGCTAGACCTGGTTCTCAACCCTCACCATGCTGTCAGAAACTTCTTCTGATCCTCCAGTGTTTATACCAGTTCCTCTGGATTCTACTGGCCTCTGAGTGAAAGGGGCCACATGGGCTCAATCTGGGAATGAAACATGGCCTCTCCCATGTACACTGTCTCCCACTGTTTCTTTCCTCACCTGAACTTTAACAGGCTCCATCCAGTGCTCCAGAGTGTCCACAGTGACGTTCTCGGGCAGCAGCACAGGGTCACTAGGGGGGATGACACATGAGGGGAAGCACACTGCACCTGAAGAAACAAGCATTTTTAGCAGAATGTGAAATTCTCAAGTCTCAAACTCCTTTATTCTGAAATCAAAAGCCTTGATTTTCTAAGAGCTATCTACATGATGGGGTCATCCCATTTTAACAGTTATAGCCAGGTTGATATTCGAATACTCAGTACTTTTTGAGGAGACTTTGACAGTAATTGGCAAAGAGCCACTTGCCCAATCTAGCACCTCTTGCTCCAAGTGCTCTCTTAATTTGTTTTATCCTGTATATGCGCATCTCCATGATGCCTGAATCTCTGGATTCTTCAGCAATTGAAAAACCAGTTCCAGATCCAGCTAACTTCCAGGATACATAGCTGTAGTAACTAAGCTCTATCATGATTGATTGATGCTTTTAAAGTCTAACATACTTTTGCTTTAGAAGATTCTAGAAGATCTTCATAAGTGTTCTTGGGGAAACTGCCTGGAAATTACTCTGATGCATATCCTATTCTTTGCCACACTGGGTGAAGTTTATTATGTTGGCAAGCAAGAAACCTACATAACTCAAGGAAGAAGCAACGGAAAATAAAAAGCAGTGACTTTTGCCAAACGTTGGCTTCTTGAAAGGAAATTTTGGTGTATTTCCTTTGAACAGGTGTTTCACAGAATTCCATTCAAAGAAAATATACTCTCAACACTATTTCCTCATGCACAAATGTGATCCGAGTTCTGCTCTTGTTCTGCCTCTGTGCTTTTCATTAATGTTTACAGTATTCACAACAACTACATAACTTGTAAGGACTATATGTCTATATCCACGTGAATGGGTCTCTGTTATATCTTAAAGCAGAAACTAGAGGCATGGAGGATGAGACTCCAGAGGCAGTTCTGAGCTCTGAAAGTCCCCGCTTGTGCATACATAAGACATCACAGTACAAAGAGTCCCTTGAAGATGGCACAGAACTAATTAAGAAGCAAGTAAGAGTTCCAACTAGCTCAGATTATACTCTTGGGCATTGCACAGGTTAGAATGCCCTATCATTGCAGGTCAGGATTTAGGAGATTGTGTGCTTAGAGTCAGCCAGGCAAAAGTGAACTAACCCCATCACAGATCAGTTCTGGCCTTGAATTTCTTTCATGTTGTAACATGAATATGAAGTTGCTCTGGAGAACCCAGTCCCCTACAGAGAAAGAGCAGCTGAAGAGTAACACAACCAAGTAAAATTTCCAATAGTTCTGTTCAGGAACTCTCCGCTCCAGTAACAACCACAGGTGAGCTCATGTAGAATGTGGCCACACATTTGCCCCTTTTCTCTTGGAATTACAAATCGTGCCACAAATTCATCAACTCACAGCCATGCGACAGAGTGGGCAACATGACCAGACATGATGGAAGTGGCTTAGCAGATGCATTGATGTTACACATCCATGGAAGAGCAAAGAGAACAATTTTACCACAAATTTTCATTCCGCCAAAGCAGCTAAAATATTTCTGCCTGCTCCTCAGGGAGAACAGTGTTTCTGATTCAAGATGCAGTAAGGCCTAATAAAGAGATGGCTTAGGAACAGACATCTTGTCCCATTCTTACCAATCCCATATCCCTGTTCACACTTGTACTCCACAAAACTCAGCTCCGAAGGAGGTGGTGGGCATTCTCCTTGTAGATTCTCACACAACTTAAACTCCTGGGTCCACAGCCCCTCTTCAGTGCAGAGAATAGGACGCTAGAATTCCCAAGGGGAAAAAAAAAACATACCCGTATTACTACTTTGTTAGCTTATTGAGTGAGGGGGCGGGGTAGTTGAAATCAAAGTGTTCTAGAACCTAGAGTAGAAGATGCAAATGAAACAATAAAATAAACAATAAAATATGTTTTCATTGGCACACATATACACTCTCTCTCACACACATATTAAGATAAATCTTTGCTGTTTCCATTATAAGGAATCGTGAATCATTTTACCATTGATGAAATTCATCTGCAATGAGTTCTCCTTTGGATATAAAGGGCATCATTTGCTGCTAACCACAACCCATGTATTTTGAGCTATTTTGGGAATTTTCCCCCAGATGGTGTTGTTTTCACTGATTCATCCATACTATCGCACAAGTGCTGCTTGTGGCAAATGTCAGATTTTTTTTAAGAAGATTTTTTTTTTAATTTCATCCACTGAAATAAAATCAGAATTTTCCTAAAGGTGTGTTTTTGGTTTTCTGCTTGAATGAACACATTATAGCTGCCTTTGATCTCAGCAAACTCTTTTTCCTTTCTCCACATGTGTGCTCATTTGTGTAACTTTGGCTTCATACCTCGAAGAGATTCCAAAATATGCCCTGTCTGGAACAGAGAAATTGTCACTAGCTAATAAAAACCCAACAGAAAGATTTTAGAGAAATAGATAATTCTCCCTTCATCTGGCCAACTCTTCACTTCTTAGCCCGTTAGTGCCAACCAATGTGTTTGATTTCCTAGGGTGCCCATTTTATGGCATATTTCTCTTCACAAATGTTCTAAAGGATTTACCTTTGCGTGTTGGCATTAAGTTAAAGATAATGTGCCAAGGGAGCATTTGAGGTCATTGATCTTTGCCCAGGAGGTCTGCTCGATTTCCTGTCTCGTGTACATGTGTGTTGCTTACAAAGATTCTAAAATAAAATTGATTTTAGTCACACAACCACGATAAGACTGTGGTTTTCATTTGAGACTTCTTGAGCCAAAATTTTAGGGAGGATGAAAGTCAAACAACACTTAAAGCTTTGCTGAGGAATTTGTGTTTCCGTTCAGGATTCTGTTCTACTACTGAAAAAATAAAACAATACCAGCATCTCTATCCAAGTGACGTTAATGTCCATCTATGAAAAGAGATCACATTGTCCAATCAGGATCCCATACGTCTTAAACACACATTTTGATACCCTACCGTTTCGGCTCTTTTTATCCCACTGGAAATCATGAATATGGGTGATAATATTCCAAACACATCCCCTCTTCTAAATCCCCTCTCAAATAATATCAACACCTCTGATTGGAATCCAAACATAGCCATGTCTTGTTTGTTGTGATTCTTGCTTACCATCCTTAAAGTGGTAAGTGATGAGAGGTAACCTGATTCCAAGCCAAGTGTGTGATGCTACACTTACCCTTTCACTTTCCTGGTTACAGTTGAGTACACACTGACTGCCCAGCTTGAAGCCATTGGTACATTCATACATGCCTTCAAAAACAGGAGCAGGTGGCTTGCACACCACTGGGACACAGCTGCCTCGCTCCCAGACTCCATCTTCCAGGCACTGTATCTTCAGGAACTTGCTGATAAGACGTAAACAAAATTGCTCATCAGATTCACATGGAGGTCATGGAAAAGACAACATACTCAGCAAAACGTGATGAGGATAAGAATAGGCAGAGGCACACAGTACTTCTTACATAATGTCTCACCAATTCGAAGTCACAATATTAAACACAGCCATGTTCAGAGACTGGCATTGTGGAGTGCCGGCTGGAGCATGGCCATTCTATCTTCTAGTGATGGTGTGTTTTCCTGGCTGCTTTACTTTTGATTTAATTTCCTGCTAATGTAATTGGGAAGACAACAGAAAATGCCCCCAATTCTTAGGTGCCACTACCAATGTGGAAGGCTAGTAATGAATTCCTGGATCCTGGCTAAGGCCAGGATCTGGCACAGCACATCTTGTTGTGAGCCTTGGTGAATGAACAGGTTGAAACATCACTCTCTCTCTTTCCTGCTATCTCTCCCCCATCTCTCTCTCTCAATCTCACTCCGCCACTTTGCATTTTAAATACATGAATCATTTAAAAAGTGAGATATACTACTAGTTGATGTATTACTGTAAGCAAGTATCCCGATTAGTTCTCATCAGGTTTTATTCGATATTTTCATGCTGAAGAAGTTTCACACTTAGGTCCACTGGGAAATTCCAGGAAGGATGGAATGCAGAAAAGGTTATCTCACCCTCAGGGAATCGACCAGTTGTGATGCGAGGAGCAACAGTATCACCATGGTGACATATCTGATGAAATTGCTAATATTTATGGTTCTTTAGCACGGGAAGAAGGTGTAGCAATACACATCTTGGTTAAAACCAAGATTGACTCTAACCTTTAAAACAACTTTCTTTCCAAGATTACTGCAGTGTTTTTGTTTACAAGTCCGTTTTTCCTTGGAAAGAGCTCCTACCTTTCCCCAGAGCCTCACAAGAAGACATGACTCAATGCTGCCTGGAAGAACGGCTCTTCCTCATACACAGACGTGGTTCCCAGCCAGCGAATGCATTGGAAGTGGCTGGAAACCAACAGAATTCTTACTATTGTGAATTCTGCCCCACTCCCCATCTGACTCACTGCAATTTGAAGACGCCTTTTCTATGGCTATTTTATAATACAGCCCTTTCTGATTCAGAATACTTCCGGTTAACACATAAACTTATGATTCTAAAATACAAAATAACCTTTTAGCTATTGACCCTTTCAATCACATGATGTGCTTAATTAGCAATTTTTCAATATCACAACTTCCATTTTAAATTTAAATATGTCTAGCATCCTATGAGTACCAACGTCGACTGTTGCACAATGCCCTATGTAATACATTACTTTTAATGTGACATTCACACATGCAGCTATTGCATTTGTCCTATGAAGAACATACATTTTACATGATCTTATAAACCTGCATACGTCTGTCTTTCCTATTAAACTCAAATTTTCTAGAAAGCAGAGTGTGCAACTCATTCCTGTATTCAGTTCTCAGGAACTGAAACATACTTAGGAGTGGTTAGTTGATACAGTAGTTAACACCCCTCTTTGGACATCTGCGCCTCCATTTGAATGTCCGAGTTTGAGTCCTGACTTAATTTTCCATTGCAGTGTCCACTAATGCATGCCGTGGGAGGCAGCAGGTAGCCCCAGGCTTTGTCTCAGCTCACTCATAGCTGTGGTAGGCTTTAGTGTAGTGAAGCAGCAGATGGAATCTAGCATTCTCTCTCTCTCTGCCCTTTTCTCTGTCTCCCTTTCAAATAAATGAATGAAAAAGTAAGTTAAAACTAGCAAAATAATGCCTTAGTTACACTTGGTATTAAAGAAGTAGTCAATGATTTATTCAACAAAGTGAAATCAACTGCAAGGTGAATCACATAATGTAACGAATAAATCATTGTTATTCCCAAACAAATGGTGATTTTATTTCTGTTTTACAGATACAGGAATACGCAGAGATGTAATGTAACTTGCCTAAGCTCTTACATCACGGAGTGCATTTATTTCCTAATGCTTTTCATAAAAAATGGTTTTGTACTTTAACTGTTTTGTTAATATCTATCAAGAAACAAGTAGGGTGTTTTTATATTATTAAGCACAAAGTTCAATCATTTTTCATTTCAAGGAATGTTTCAGGATAGAAGTCTTATTTATGACTCAAATGCTTTGGTGTTATAGTCTGTGTGGACAGAGACCTAAGAGAAATAACAAACACCTCCTTTGATTCTACGTTTCTACGTTGGTAAGACACCTGCATATATTATATTAGTATGTCTATCAAGCAACTCTTAGCGGCAACATTTCAGAGCATGACATTTCAGAGATATCACTGAGCTCCACAGTGATATCTGCAGGAGACGGCAGGTCTGGGTAGGCTAGCCACAAGAGTTGGTGGTCCTCCCCCTGGGTTCTCACTGTTTCTATTTTCTCCATGGACCACTCTGACCACAAACAGTGTCTTTAGCCTTCTGAGCAACCAGCCATGCTTTGGCTTAATGCTATATTTGCAAGTGTGGCAAAATAGAAAAACCATCAAAAATATTTATCCTGAGTAATAAATTACATAGATAAAAGAACACGTATCTTATTACTTGGGAAGTCTTTGCATATGAATAGAGCTGGATGGTCAATTCTGCAGCCAAGATCCAGAACATTCTTGATTCCAAAGCAGAAGATCCCCATGTGTTCTTAGATATTTCCCCCCCACACAGCCACACACACATAACATACTTCTAACCGTCATTGGTCTGTTCTTCAACTAGATGCAAATAAAATCACACACTGTATATCTTTTATTTTGCAGGTTGTTTTTTCTTGAGGAAGATGCCATTTAAAATATCTTCCCAACCATACTTTCAATGGAAGACAAGCCATTCTTGTCAGTACCGCAAGGCCCCCTTTTGTCCCTCTAGAAGACTAGATATATTATTTTCTTTCAGACTACAGCCTGAATCTTCCCAGGCACTGTTCTCCTTCTACTACTTCCCACAAATGACATTTTCTTTCTATCTCTGCTACATCAAGTTCCCCTAGCAGGAGGTAGTAGGCAATGGAGCTGATAGTAGAGCAGTGAGGCTATAAAAACCCTACCTGTCAGCACGGTTATGGAGAACTCCCGCCTGGCCAGGGGCAGGATGTTTTGACTTCATGTGGTGTTTTTCTCTGAATTGCTTGGAACACTTAAACCATGGAAATAGTCCTCTCATTCCCTGCCCAGAGTGAGGAATCATTCAAGAATGTCAATTTTACATTTCTTTGCCAATTTAATAACCTCAGGGGGTGAGGGTAGGCAAATCAAACTTGAGATGGGGAATGGTGAATTTGGATGTTCCGGCTGGCACTCAAACACCATGACATGCTCTGTGCTGTGAACCACCAACCATCGTTGGAGAAAGACAGCCCAGACAGCAGGAGTAAAAGCAGCACAGTTCACATGGTGGACCCAGGAGCAAGAGGAAGGAGAGGCTGCCCGTCTCCTGGACCCCTAGGGGATCCAGTTTGCTTTCAACAAGGGTGCCTAGGCTACTCTTCACCTCACAGATTCTCCCTCCTCCCCATCTCTCCCTTGTGTATTACATAGCTGTATAATGCAGCCTTTGTCTCTCTCTGCACCAGTGCTGTCATTTAATTTCCATGTGTAGACTTCTTGCAAAGCATATGGTTGCATTTTCTTGTCCCAGTAGTAAGGGCCATCTTACTCTGCTTGTTAGGCATACCTGTAGATCCCCACTATGAGCCTGAGTCTTCAGGTCCCACAGAATGGAGCTTGGCACTTGAGTGACACAGGCTGATCATGGACATTCTACTCTAAAGGACACTGCATCTGGAAATGCGCACCCTGTTCTTAGTTCTAGCCAATGTGGTTTCACCATTCAGCCTCTGAGAGGCACTAAAGCTTAAATCTTATCATTCATCTTGCTGAAGTTTCATTTAATTTGTGTTACAGTCTGACTAGGCCCCTCTCCTTTCAGGTCACTTGGTAAAATCCTATCCCTAATGTTCTTGTAATGCGAGGTAGGCCTATGGGGAGTGATTAACTCAGAAGCTTGGTGTCTAGGTGATGAGACAGCTGAGCTTGCCTTCTCTGTATTCCATTCTGTCAAATGAGGACACAACAGAAAGACCATCTGAAAACCCCTATCTTGGGCTTCTCCACCTCCAAAAACGGTAAGAAACAAACATCTATTTTTCAAGATACTCATCTATTGTACTATGTAGTGGCTTCAAAGATCTAAGACCCAAAATAGTGGGACTTAACTACTGGTGTGGTACAGTGGCCCCTGCATTTCATCTGATTTGGTAAGATGGAGCAGTGACCTTTGATTAAGATAATGAAGAAAAACAAAATGGTTTATTCACAGTGGTGCAATTTCTCCATATAATATATACAAATCAAAAACCATGAGGTGTTTTATAGTCATGATGTTAATAGTATTTCCAATAATTATGACACTGGATACCAGAGTGTTGCACATAGAAAGGCCCTTAGCAGGACACAGATTCCAAGCCTTGTTTAAGTTCATGCCAATTACCTTTCATATAAAACATTGTACTTACATCTAGGAATTTCCTATATTTTTTTCATCCAAATGGAGGGAGGGACATAAATATCTCATTTTATAGTCATGCAAGTGTGCATTATTAATCATAGATATATCTTGCTTGACATCCCAGAGAAAGCAATTTGCAAAACTGAGAAAGACTTCAAAGCGTTCAAGTCATCGTTTTACAGCTGATAATTGGATCAATATTCCAGTAGGTTACCCCATAAAAATTAAGGAGAAGCTACCCTGAAAACCCTGATTTCCAAGTTCACTGAACTAAACCTTCTGGGGTTGCTTAGGACTCTGGGTTTTTCAAATTCATAATAGTTTCATGTGCAACTTGGTTGGCAATATACTAAAACCTCCGCTACTTTCTCATGGAAGCCAAGAAAACAGTCATGTCACCCTCTAACAACCCTGTAGCTTTCCTGTTTGGACTTTTCATGCATCTAGCTTTTGGGCTAGTGTTGCTAGTCAGTCTCCAATTTC